TCATTTCCCCAGAGATGCATGTCTCCATGATCCTGAAAAGGTTAAGAAATCTTCCCAAGGCGTTTACCCCAGCTTGCTTCACCCCCCACAGGCATTTTTAAAGCTACCACCTGCCTTCCCTACCTGAATTGCTGTAGTTACGTAACATATTCCCCAAACAATCAGGCTACAATTTTGTTCCGCACTTCCCTCTGTCCATCCTACCTTTGCTACACCATCCCCCGCAGGACACCAGCTTGGGCATTCCCTGACTCACCTGCGATGGCACCCTTGGGCTGTTACACACTGGGCTGCCAAAGGCAAGGTCAGTGCTTCAAAACCACTAGCTCCTCTCTGAAGAAGGATGAAAAGTCTCAGAAAGCCACAGGGGCAGTTCCACTCTGCACGTAGGGTCGCTATGGGTAGAAATCAGCTCTACAGCCAAACAAGGGGAGTGTGTTTTGTCTTGGTTTTGAGTTTGGGGACCAACCATGGGCTGAGGGATGGAGAGGGCATCAGGTTTCAGGGACAGGCCCCTGGTCAGTAGCAAGTGTCCTCTGAGGCCACAACATGCTGCCACCAGGTATGTTTGGGTCACCCTGGGGGGTACAAAGGGAGGGCAAGGATTCTGTGGCTGCTTGTCCTGGCTGCTACCATGGCCCCTGATGGGTTCAAAGACCTTCCTTGTTGGACAAGTCTCCTTGGCCAGGCTGTCAGCTCGGTGTGGGCAGGGCCATGCCTGGCTCATCTTTGGATCCATCTAGGTAATGACCCAATTCCAGAGTGCCTGAGGATGGGGCCAACGGGCACACAGTCCCACTTCCCAAAAGGCTCCAGGTGGGACAATTCCCACAGCACTCCTCTAGGAGAGGGTCAACCCGGAGCCTACATCCTATTATAGATTTGCAGCAGGGCGCAGGCTCTAAAGGGAAGAACCAGGAGGTACTGGCCTTCCGGGCAGCAGGGCTATGCTATTTTTATTCCTGTTTCTACTTCACTCAGCTTTGTGGTAGAGAGAAAGCCAGAGTAGGGAGAAAAAAAACAGAACGTGGTTTCTTCTTACATATTTATGTATTTTTCCTTCTCCCCAGCCTCTTTGGGGTCTGGGTGGCCCTGTGCCCTAGCCACCTCTGGGGCCTCACTGAACTCCTATTAAGGGTGAGGGAGACTTCTGGAAGCAGACTGTGGTGATGGCTGGGAAACACGTAGACTGTAACCAGGGTCACTGAGGAATATGTGCTAAGGCTCAAACATGCTGAATGGTAAAGGTCCATGTTATATATATAGATTTCACGCAAAGCAAAATATGGACATAAAGTCAGGGCATCTGGAGAAAGACCCCCAAAACCATCCCACGGAGTCAAAGATCACAGGCCCCAAATAAAACAAAACAAAAAGCTATCAGGTACACCGAGCAGAAAGATCAAAATCAGCTTGCTTCATCGCAGCCAGCATATCTCTAAATGGAACACAATGCATGCCTTTGACCTTGAAATGGGACACGCGCTCCCTTCGCAAGCCTGCCACCAAACTCCAGAGCCACACCATCGCTACCCCGGAGTGCTGGCAGGTGGGGCATCATTCCTGTAAAACATCGGGAGGCTTGACGGGCTGGATGCTGCCAAATGGAGCAGCCATTGAGACCAGAAAAGCCCAGAAACTAAAGTTCCACAGGGAACAGCAGGATGGGAATTAGGCAAGGCCCCACCTGTTCAATCATGAAATAATTGCCCAGAGCATGAGTTCTTCAGTCATTATTTCCTATGGGAAAACAGCCTCCCCCAAATGCTGCCCACAATCTCGGGGCTGCCTAAAGATGCCACTGCTGAAGCCAGGCAGTCACTTCCCTAATGCCACGAAAATAGATTCAATTTTACATACATCAGAGTGATTTCAGAAACAATTTCTACATCTCCAGTGTAAGCATTACTTACATCCCCCACCTCCCCGCCTTCAAATCTCATCCTAGTGGTTCCATGGGGCATTTTAAAAGGCGCCTGATGGGTTCCAGGACATTCAAAAGAATCCCCGGAGCATGGCTGTGGCTGGAGTCTAAGGACATTACAAATATCTCAGACAGAGTCCTAAAATAGTCACTGATTCAAACCAATGCACACCGTCTGAAAACCACTGTGCCTGTGCATATGTGTGTTTGTCTGAATAGGCACATTTATTGGTGTGTGTGTATGCGTGCATGTAGTAATGTACACACCACACACACACACACACACAATCATTTGGAAAGATTGTCCCTGGCCTTTACAAATTTGAGTTCAATTTTATTGGCTGGAAAATCTACCTCTATCATGGATGTTTTTTATCTTGATCGCCTAACTTTGAGGCGAAGGAGCAAGGGGAGTGGGGGTGTTTTCACTGGGGTCACCCACGGCTTTTCACTGGTGATCAGAAGACTTCTGTACACATACCTGCAACCTCTGAGCCACACTGGGTACCATGCACCTCTGCTCAGAATCTTTTTTGCATTCCGAGTCCTTGGGGCTGGAGGGGGGCACTTCTGCACATGAAAGAGGGTGTGCATGAGGGTTCTTGGGTGGACTGTTCGGGGAAGGATGTGGATGACGGAGAACCCCTTGGCCAGTGTTCCCATAAGCCATCAGGACTTGAAAAATGCACTAATTGTCTCTACACCTTGGGCCCAAAGCAGCACAGCCTGTGACAGTTAGTGCAGCCACAACTCAGCGAGCGTTCAGTGGGAGGCGTTTGCAAGGGCCCTCCTCTATCTAGAAGTAAGCCAAGCCCATTGCCTTGCCAACCCCCTTTCTGTCTCTCCTGGCTTAAGCTCAGCCCTCTCCTGATCCCTGGGGGATGCCTGGATCCCAGCTGATCACCTGGGTGGAGAAGACAAAGAAGACTGGCTTCCTGGATGGGCAGACAGCAAACTTAGTCTGCTCTGTGGGACAAATGAATGTTAAATATTTGCTCATAAAATAATCAGTATGTGCTTTTAGGCTTTGTCTTTCAAGGCCATTACCCAACCCTTAAGAAAGGTGCAGACTTTGCATCACTGATTATGGGCGAGGTGGGATCGTGTGTCTGTTGACAGGATGACAGGTGAAGCAGTGCTTTCGCTACCATGTTCGACCTGAATGTAGGCATGGGGAACCCACCAACCAAACACACATCAGAGACATCCACACCGAGGGTATGCTACAATACAACTGGCTTAAAAAGGTGCTGTCCTGAAAGACAAAAGAAAAGGTTTCAGGGTTACCCTGGGTTTAGGGAGATTAAGGGGCATGATAATCAAGTAGAGTGGGAGTCCCTTGCTTGGATGCTGGATTTAAAATTAAATAAACCATCAAGCCTGTTCAGGGCCATGGAGGAAATCTGATTATGAACCAACATGCTAGATATCACTAAAACCAAGCTACACCTCTTGGGGGAAGATCATTTCTCTGTGCGTCTGTCAAAGAGCTTGCCTAGCCTTTCCGAAAACCCACGTTGAAGGCTGTCGGGGTGGCGCATCACGTTACCTGCAGCTTACTTTTAAAATGAGTTCAGAAAAGGAGAAAAAGATAGAGATGAGTCTGTACACATTGGAAAAGCGCTCGTGTTGTGAAATGCTAACCACTGGCGAATCTGGGGCCACGGTGTCCGGGGATTCGCTGCAGTCTTCTTTCAACTGTTTTGTAGGTTTAAGATCAATCTTTCATCCCCCAAGGCAGCATTTCAATACTTGAAAACAGCCCATGCCTCTCTCCCAGGTTGACCTTCTTTACCAGGGTGCCTAGAAGAACCCCCACCTCCCCCGCGTGGCTCTGACCAAACCCGTCTCTCTGCGCTCCCTCCAACTCCTCATCCCACAGGAGTTTATGATTCCGTGGGTAAGGGCGAGCGACCAGCTAGGAGTATTTTGTAAACCTTTCCAGGTGGGTTCCAGGAGGCACCTGAGGCCAGGAATCGTGGACTTCAGTTACTCTGTGAGGCTGGATCTGTGAAGGACGGGCCGTGTGGCGCTGGGAGGGTTCGTCCAGCGTGCCGAAGCATCGATTGCCGTCCTCGTTGTCTTTATTTGCTGCCAAGTGGATGCTACCTTGTGAACACCTCCTGTTCCCGAGCAGAACTGCTCCATAGGGATACCTTTACCTGTAAATGGGAACTACGTACCTCACAGGGCTGTGGTGAGGATTCACTGAGAGACAGTGCCTGCAGAATGCCAGGCTGCTAATAGATACTGGCTTCCTTTCTTCCCACGCTGCTAGATACAGACCGTGTCATGTGGATTCTTTCCCAATGGGTTGTTTGCCATTTTGCAATTTTCAACGTGGGGAGGATGTATGTCTATGCTTAGATTCCCTGCATTTACAAACAGTTGGAGCAGAGACTGGGGATGCTGGTTTTTCTAACAAACCCAAAGAAAGAACTGGTTCACAGAACCACCAAAGGACCGGTGACCCATGTGACCTCCAACCTTACCAGTCTTGATGTTCTTATGTGGACAAGGGTTAACCCTGCAATCTTAGACAAGCCTGGGATTCTGTACTGACACTGCATGAGGACCCCAGGTCCTTGGCTAAATGCCCTTTGGAGCATTGGGCTGTAACTGGGAAGTGGCTAAGGTGGGGGAAGCATGGGTTTCTGGTCTGACCAGACATGGCACTTAAGAGAAATTGCTTCTTGAGCCCCGACTTCCAACTTCCTATGCTCTAAAAATGGAGACCACAATAATTTATGTGGTACCTATTTTACAGAGTTCATATGAAGTACTGCTTTGGAAACTTTACAACAATCAATCCAATTTGCCCTATTTTCCCTTTAAGGAATAGTTGTCTCCCCCTCCCTCTTTATTATTATTTTTAGCCAATGTCTCTATGTAGGTCTTTGAATACTTAGGATGACCTGCCTCTGTGTCTTTGCTAGGGAGAGCCTAGAACCGGGAACATCCCAGCCCCTGATCCCCCTACAGGGTACACAGAAGAGGAGCCAGGGTCAAAATCAAGGCAACTGGACAACAAAGCTGGACTGCAGATACCCATTTCCCCTTAGTTGACTCGACTTACTGAATCCGTTCACATCCTGAGAGCTAGAGGAGAAGCCTTCATCGTTGCGGTTGACATTGAGCTTGGTGGTGGGTTTGTCGGCCGAGGCCACTGGCCCCATCTCTCTCTGAGCTCCGCTCTGTGTCTCCTTCTGCTTCTTGGCCAGCTTCCTTTGGGACATGTGCAAGGGAGAAATCACAGTCAGGTGATACTAGTCATGTACGTATATATTTTTTATTGAAAGATTATTTTATCAGGGGCTCTTATAGCTCTTATAAAAGTCCATACATCAATTGTATCCAGCATATTTGTACATATGTTGTCATCATTCTTTTCTAGATGTTTATTTCTATTTAGCCCTTGGTATCAGCTCCTCGTTTTTTCCCCGCCCCCACCTAATGACACCTTGATAAATGATAAATTATTATTATTTTCTTATCTCATACTGACCACTGTCTCACTTCCCCCACCATTCCTGTTGTTTGTCCCCCTGGGAGTGTGTGTGATTATGCATCAATCATTGTGATCAGTTCCCGCTTCCTCTTCTTCCCCCTACCCTCCTAGTATCACTACTCCCATTACTATTTCTGGATTCCATGTGTAGTGAGCTCTTATCTTTTATCGGTGCCTGTGCATATGCTCTGGTCTAGTTCACAGTGAAAGGCAGGACTGCAGTCATGATAGTGGGGGGTGAGGAAGCCTCAAGGAACCAGAGAACTATTGTGTGTTTCATCGGTGCTATACTGTTCCCGGGTTGACTCATCCATTCCTTGTGACCCTTCTGTGAGGGGATACCCCATTGTCTACAGATGGATTTTGGGTCTCTGCTCTGAGCCCCCTCATTCTC